AAAAAAAAAAAAAAAAAAAAAAAAAAAAAAAAGTAAATAAAAAGATCCCTTAAGGAAAGATGAGAGGGGTCAAGGGAGAGGGATTGAGGGGATAAAAGAGGCCAGTAGGGAGGCAGATATGATCAAAATATGTCACATGTGTGCGAAAATGTCACAATGAAAACCATTATTTTGTATAGTTAATATATGCTAATAAAAATTCCAGATAAAAAGATTCCTTAATTGGTCATTTCAATTTAAACAGCAATGAGGAACTGAAAAATTCTTGAAATAACTTTGAAATAGACTATTTACATATTCTTTGAAATCCTGTCATAATTTATTGCTAAGTTGAGTTAGATTGAGTAGATATCGTTGCCTTAGAAATTAATGGCAATTCTTTAATTAAAAAAAGTTTTCATAAAAAATTTGAAAACAAATGGTACAGTAAACAAAAGAATCATGTTCTTTTTTGTTTTGATGTGAAGCTCTTTTGTTGTTCTGTTTAGCATATTGTGGCATTTATATTTAGACTGAATAGGCAATATCTTTATAAATAGTTTTAAAATCAAGAGCTATCCTAGGTTTATTCCGTAACTCCTTTGTACTGAAAGGAACATAGTAGTTTAGTGTGTGGTGCAGTTATCCTTGTAGTATAGAGGACTGAAGAATCTTTTTGGTGTTTCTTTTCATGTTTCTCTCTGAAATTTAATTTGTACTCCAAGATAGTGACTGTAGTTTTCTATTTTAGAAAGTGTAGGTTTTTTTTTTTTTTTTTTGGTCAGTATTGGGGTTTGAACTCAGGACCTACGCCTTGAGACATTCCACCAGCCCTTTTTTGTGATTTTTTTTTTTTTTTTTTTATACTCGATATAGGGTCTCCTGAACTATTTTCCTGGGCTGGCTTCAAACCACGATCCTCCTGATCTCTGCCTCCTGAATAGCTAGGATTACAGGTGTGAGCCACTGGTGCCCAGTGGGAAGCCCAGTTTTGATCTGGGGAAAAATTAAGTATTATAGCTTATTTGGGATAAGATTTGGTTTGAGGACTTCATATCACCAAAATTTATTTTCTTCCTTGAGCACTGATTTATTTTTGTACTCATCAGAATCATGAGCTGTTTCAAAACTGTTTATGATTTTTTTTTTTTAAGTTTTTTTTTTTTTTTTTTGGATGGGACTGAGGTTTGAATTTAAGGCTTCATACTTACAAAGCAGGTGCTCTACCACTTGAGCTACACCTCCAGTCCATTTTGCTCTGGTTATTTTTGGAGATGGGGGTCTCAGGAACTATTTGCCTGGGCTGTGCTTGAACCGCAGTCCTCCCCATCTTAGCCTCACAAGTAGTTAGGATTACAGGTGTGAGCTTTTTCTTTTTGGAGTTCTTTTTTAAGGAGAAACTTCTATTTGTCTTGTAAAACCTTTTGCTTAGGGAATAATCCTAAATTGTATTGTCTTTCTGTCACAAATTTCAGTCTTTCTTGCCTGCTATACATTGTGTGTGGGACATGTTCTTTTGTCTTAGGGTATTTTTTCGGTTTTCTGTCTGAACAGCTGATTTTCACACCCGCTACCACTGTGGCTGCTGTACAGTCTGACATTCCTGTTGTCTCGTCGTCATCGTCATCTTCCTGTCAGTCTGCAGCTACTCAGGTGAGCTTGTCTAGCCCCATAAAGTGTTACTTGAGATCTGGATCTTCAGGTTGAAGATAAACATTACATTTGTGTTCCAGCAACTACGGTTCCAGAGCTCTTTGTTAGGCATTTCAGATCAAAATTTAATAAAATACAATGAGAACTTCCAGAAAATGGTTTTGTTTTGTAGAAATTATAACTAAACATAGATATTTAGGTTACTTGACATTAGTCAGGGTTAATGAGAGTTTTGTTAATAATGTTAGGTTTTTTTGTATAACAGATTTATTTCTCTTTCTATGTGAGATGTGTTCTTTTTTTGTAGATTTCTTTGCAATCATATTTGCAAAGAGTTATATTGGGAAAATTTTAAAATAAAAAAATTAAGTAGAATATTATGTTATTTGACACTATTGAAAAGTGAACCTAAACTTTTTCTTACACATTAATAAGTAGAAACTAGAAGTAGAATGTTGACCTAAAGGTAAAAGCAAAAACTATTAAATGTCTAGAAGAAAACATAGGATACTATCTTTGTAAGTCTAGGGTAGGCAAAGCTTTCTTAGATAAGACACAAAAAACACTAATCATAAAAGAAAATAGTGGCAGTATACAAAGGTCATTATGCATCTGAAGATGGGCTCAGTATCATAAATCATAGAAAATGCAAGTCAAACCATGAACATCACCACACAGCCACTAGAATGGCTGGAATGAACAAGATTGCTAATACTGTGTGTTGGTGAGAGTGTGGAACAGCCAGGCTCTCATGCATTTCTAGTGAGAGATTAAAAGTAGTACAACCACTTTGAAAAACAGTTTAGTATTTCCTTATAGAGTTAAATATATACTTAACACATTACCCAGCTGCTCTACTTTCAGATATCTGCTGCTAGATATTTATGCTAATGATGTGATAACATATTAGCCAGATAAAGACATGTAAATAAATGTTCATGGCAGCTCAGTTCAGAATAGCCCTACACTGGAAACAAGCAAATGTCCTTTAAATGCTGAATGAATGGGTAAACAAATTGTGGTATAGTCATACATTGGAGTACTACTCAGAAATAAAAAGGAACAAACTACTAATGCATCTTAGAACCATTATGTTATTAGCAAAAGAAGATAGGCATAAATGGGGTACATCCTCTGGTATTCCATTTATTTGAAATTCTAGAATAGGCAAGACTTCATAATTAAAAAACAAATCAGATTAATGTTACCGAAGGCAGAATATTTCTCTGGGAAGGAAGGTGGGATTTTACTGGGCTTGGAATAATGTGTTGGAGTTCAGGAGATCGTTTTGAGGAAGAATGCATTTAGGCAAGAAGAGCCTGAGCAAGGGCACCAAATGAAGGAAATGCAAGGTATATAGAAGAAGGATGGACAGAACAGTTTGTGAGAATTTGGACGTAGGATTAAAAAGTGGGGCTGAAAATGGTTTGGGCCTTAAGTGGCAACTTGAAAAATTTGTGTTTTAGTACATCCTATTTTTGTACTAAATAATACAGTGGCTTTTTGTCTATTTATGTTGATATTGTTATGAAATATTTGAGAAAAGTCAGAGGAGATGTTCCATATGGTCTCACTTAGAAAACTCATTCAGTAGCTTTGATAGTCAATTTTTGTCTGTGTGACAAATACCTGAGAGAATCAATTAAAAAGAAGGAAAGATTTATTTAGGCTCATGGTTTCAGAGGTTTCAGTTTGTGATTTGCTGGCACTATTGTTTCAGGGTGGGGGACATGTGGTGCAGCAAAGTGGCAGAGCACCCTTTAAGGACACCCCTAAACAACCCATTTCCTTCAACTCTGCTGCATTTTCCACAGTTCTACTACTTCCCAGTGATCTATGTACATTTTGAATCTGTCCAGGAATTATAATTTTGATACAGGCCTAGCTTTCACTGTTTACATTTTAGACCTTTCTGGGGAACATTTTGTATCCAAACCATAACATTCTGCTCTTGGCTCTCAAAAGGCTCATGACTATCTCAAAATGCAAAATGCATTCAGTCCATCTCCAAAAGTCCTCACAGTCTTAACAGTTCCAACATTATTCAAAAGTCCAAGTTCAAACTCTCCTTGAGACTCAAGGCACGTCTTAGCTGTGAGCCCCTATAAAATAATTTTTAAAAACGGCATATTTCCAACATTTGATACTAGGTTAAATATCCCCATTCCAAAAGAGGAATAGGAACATAGAAAGGAGCAATGGACAAAAGCAATACCGTAAAAGCCCATCAGGGCAAAGACTAACTCCTGTCCATGTGTAGTATCTGGGCCATGTGGTGGGTTAGGGCAAAGGTTGTGGGCAGCCCTGCTCTTAAAGCCTTGCCATTTGCAGCCCACACGGCCTGTCTCTTGGTTTGGTTCAGTTTACTACCTGTAGCTTTCCTTGGCAGATGGTCCACATTCCTGGCATCTCATAGCTTCTTGGGGTTTCCATTGAAGCTTTTGCTTCATCCTCACAGCTTATGTATCACCCTCTCAGGATGCCTGCAGGAAGTCTGACCCCACTACACACTGCTTGACCTCACAGGCTTTCCTTTGAAATGTGGAAAGTCATGCAGGGTAGAAGCCTCTATGACCCTGTAACGCTTGCATTCTGCATGCCAAGGTCTGCTGCCAGCTCAAGTGATAGCTAGACTCTCTTGGACCGTGGCTGCAGCGGCCTTTGAGACCTGGGTGATTGAAGGCAAGGAAACACTTTCTTAGGTAGCCCTGTGCAAGCAGGGAATACTGGCAGTGCTCTCTTCTCAAGAGATAGTCTTTCAAACAAGTTTGCACTTTTACACCCTTGACTCTGCCAGGGGTGAGTTCTCACTGATTCTTGACACATCCTCAAGGCATCTTTCCTACTTTTCCAGTGCAAAATACTTCTTTATAATAGTGCTAATCTCTTTAACAACCACACCTTCCTTGCCTGCAACTTTAAATAACCTCCTTTTCTGCCAAACTACTACTTTTTCAAATCTTCCCACTCTGGTTTTTTGCTTCCACATCTCACTGTAAATATAGTTAAAAGCAGCTAGCAACGTCTATGCCATAGCATGACTGCTGGGCTGCTTCAAATTTCCCTTTGCCAGATTAACTAGTCCATCACATTTAAACTCAGCCTCCCACAAAGTCTCAGGGCTTGGACAAAATATAAATGAGGTTTTTTTTTTTTTTTTTTTTGCTACAATGTGATATGAATGACGTCTGCTCCAATTCTCAATAGAGTCTTTGTTCCTATCTGAAACTTCATGAGTACAGTCTTTTTTTGTCCACATTCCTATCAGTATCCTTGTCTTCTGAGCTTCTACCAGAATCATCCGTTAAACTTTGCGTACAGCATTATAGGCCTTCTCTAGCCTATATATCCAAATTTCCAAATTCCTACTGCAAACCAGTTACAAAGGTTTAAGAACCACACAGTCAGGTTTACTTACAGCAGTGACCCCACTTCTCTGGTTCCAATTGTCTGTATTCATAAGTCTTTTGGTCACTATGAAAAAATATCAGAGAGAAACAGTTTAAATGGGGGAAAGATTTATTTTGGCTCATGGTTTCAGAGGTTTCAGTCCATGGTTAACTGGTTCTGTTATTTCTGGACTGTGGTGAGGCAGTACTTCATGTGGTGAGAAAAGTGACTCACTTCATTGCAGACAGGAGGCAGAGATAGTAACAGAGGAAGGGACAAGGATTCCAAAATACTCTTCAAAGATAGTCCCTCAGTGACTCACTTCTTGTAATTTTGTCCTACCTTCCACAGTTCCATTACCTCCTAATAGTCTATTCAAATTTTGAATCCATGAATGAAATTAAATCCTTGCTGAAGGTAGAGCCCTCATAATGCAGTCAATTCCCAACAGCACTGAACACTGCTAGAATCAGGGACTAAGCCTTCAGCACATGAGCCTTTTAGGGGGGAGACTTCATTTCCAAACATAATAGTTCCTTAGAATAGAATAGAATTTGCCTGACATGAACACTTAGTACCTGCTAGTGACTGAACACTGCATTTAGCACTTGGACAGAGAAAGTCAAAAGATGCCTTTGAGCATCAGATAATGATGCAGCTGTGGAGAAAGAACATGCATGGAACTGAAGAACTTTTATAAAGTAGCAGCATACCATTTGTTTTGTCACTTTGGAGTCTCTTTTACTTGAATTTCCCTCCCATAGCCAGTGGTATCACTAAATATATTTCATGCACTTATTCCAGACAGGCAAGATGTTAGGTAGTTTTTGATGAGGCATTTTCTGCCTTGCTGTTTGGAAATTTTATAAATCTGAGGTGAGAGTTTGGGATAATCCTTGTCATTATCTACTCAAGAGAATGTTTGCAGTAACCCCAGGTGTAGACAGGAGCCATCACACAAACCCATTTCAGGGGTCCTGCACTATCTTGTGAAAACTGGTTCTCAAAGAAAGTAAGTGTTCATTAACAACAACAAAAAATTTAATTTTCTGAAAATGTTTTTCATAAATATCACAATGGAGTAGGTGATTTGATGAATTAATTTTTTCTTATAAGATTAGTGTCTCTTTATAATCTTCATAGTTAGAACTAGTCAGTTTTGATGCAGTATGTCACAATGCAGTTTCCTTATATTCATAGTTCATTTGTGAATTTTCTTTCTCTTTTTCTCCCTTTCTCCTTTTCTCCACACACATACATTGATTCATTCTGTTTTCATTTAGTTCCTCATGATTAATCCTTCTTTCCCTTCTCTTTCCTCCCTGCCCTTTCCTTCCTCTCCCCTTGCTGCTGTCCTATTCCTCCCTTACTTTTTTTTAAATTGCCACATAATATTTAAGATGTGATTATTTAGAATAATAATTCTTCTTTCTTTCAGGATTAATCAGTTGCTTGGATTTCTATATGTGAAAATGTTATGTTAATATGTTGTATTATAATTGTATTGATTACCAAATCAGTTAAAACTATCTGTTTTCATCTTTATTTTCTATTATGTGGTTCATAGGTTCAGAATTTAACATTACGCAGCCAGAAGTTGGGTGTATTATCTAGCTCACAGAATGGTCCACCAAAAAGCACTAGTCAAACTCAGTCATTGACAATTTGTCATAACAAAACTACAGTGACCAGTTCTAAAATCAGCCAACGCGATCCTTCTCCAGAAAGTAATAAGAAAGGAGAAAGTCCAAGTCTGGAATCACGAAGCACAGCTGTCACCCGGACATCAAGTATTCATCAGTTAATAGCACCAGGTGGGATAAGATTTTTGTTGAAAATAGTTGTATTATTCATTTTCTTTATAAGCAGCAAAACAAGGGCGTCTGCTACTTCAAGAAGAATGACATTTTAAAATGTGAATTTCATTAGTCAAAGAAGAACATTTCACCATGTAGCTGGAAAAAAATTTAAAAAGCCCAGTAGCTAAAACAAATAATAGCAATAAAATAGATGCTTTTTTTGTTAATTGACATTTGATTAACATTTTCATGATGTATTGGTTTCTCTTTATAGCAATAAAACCTAGCTTTTAAAAAAGATTCGCAAGTAGTTTTTTAAAATGTGCTTTAGTAGGACATATTTAAAAGCTTGTAAAAAGTAAGTGCTTAAAATCAACCACGGGACAGTTTGTCACTTTTCCAAAAGTAAGTATTATGCAAATAAGGAAATTTATGTTCGTTACTATGTTGCTTTTTTCCATTTTTAAAATTTCATCTGAGAGGAAGATGTCAGGGAATCAACTAAGTCATTTTCATTTTCAGCAAGCTTTGAAGTTGCACCTGTGCTGTCTGCTTTCTATAACTAACCAGGTCAAGATTCTTACACTGAAAATGTTGGGGTCATCCAGAGTGAGCTTCTTAAGTATGTCTGTATTCATCTGTATTCATCTCAGAATTTCTCAGGATTGAGCTTTCCTCACTTCTAATAAGATCTTTAAAGTATTATCTGCTTTCAGGGGTCTTGTGTAGCCCAGGCTGACCTCAGACTCTCCATCTGTCTGCCTCAGTCTTCTGAGTACTGGGACCACAGGCATAGGCCACCAGACCCAGCTGTTTTAAAGTCAGTGCACCATTTGCTATGTCATCGATTCCATCTTTATAACCTGCTTCTGATTTAGTTCAGTAGTTGTAGCATCTTTTGTCTCCTCAAGTATACTTAGTCTCCGCTTATTCTTCATGCATCTACATACCTGGCGTATGAGTATGTGTGTAAGAGAGAGCTGGATGGAACTAGGTATCTCACATATACTTCATTAAGAAAAATCTTCCTTTGTTCCAACCATTTCATCAGGTAAGGATCTTCTTTCTATTCTTTTATAACTTTTTTAAATATAGATTTGTTTTATACTACTGAAATCTGTTCTTTTCCCTCCACTTGTATCTACGTCTCTTATCATGTTTCTTCTCTGTTAATGTTTCCAACATTTTTTGCTTCACTGAATCTCAAAATCTCAGCATCGTCTAATTTCTGTAGTTAGAAATTTCTCCTCACTCTGAACTTTTGCCGCATTTTTTATGCTCCCTTATAGTTCTTTTTTCTGTTATGATTATAATATACTTACTGATCTTATGAGCTCTCGAGGGTAGGATGATAATATTTAGCACTTCTGTATGTATCAGGTACTATTTTAGCACTTTTAGTTTTTCTTTCTTTTTTTTTTTTTGACAGTACTGGGTTTGAACTCAAGCTTTGTACTCGCTAGGTGGGCTCTTTACCACTTGAGCCCCTTGCCCAGCCTGTACTTTTACAAAAGGATTTTTTTTAAATCCTATTGCAGGTTTGTCTTTTCACTCTTATCTTGACAGCACTAAGTCATGCTTTCTATATATTTGTCTAATATGTGGGTGATGTATAATTCATGGATTAGTGGTTAATTTCTTTTCCATTTGGAGTTTGGAAATTATAGCACAGTCTTCCATTAGCATTAATTAGGTCTCTTTCTGCTTAGAATTGTTATAGTTGAGTCTTTGATAATACTGTAGACTTTGATAATAAATCCATTATTTATGTCTATTTTTATAAGTTTTTGTTTCCCAGTATCTGCTATATCTATGATTTCTTTTGTGTGTGTGGGGGGGTACTGGGACTTGAACTCAGGGCCTTGCTCTTGCTAGGCATGCACTCTACCACTTGAGCCATGCCTTCGAGTGCTTTTCCTTTTTAGTGCTTTTTCCAGATAGGGTCTTGCACTTTTGCCCAAGCAGACCTTGAACTGCAATCTTCCTACCTTTACCTTCTGAGTAGCTGGGATTACAGATGTGCACCACCACACCTAGCTTGCTTACCCAACATCTGGCTAGTTGACAGTCAGTGTGGAGCAGCAATGATGACTGTGCTTGAAATGACTTATCCAGGACAATATCCTGCCACCTTGATAGATTATAACGAAAGGTAGATTAATTTCTTCGCAGCAAGAATTCTACCTTTAGAGAAAGCTGGAAACTCTTTAAGGTTTAGTTTTGTTTCTTTTGTTACTAGGGATTGAACTGAGGTCTGTACTTGCTAGGTAAGTGCTATACCACTTGAACTCTGCCCCTAGCCCTCTTTGAGGCTTAGTTGGATCTTGAGCAATATTTGACCAATATTTAGTTCCAAGTTGCAGTTCACTCTTCCCTTTTTTTTGATAATGTGGCAAGCTCCTCATTGTTTGCCTCCTCTTATGGGCAGTATATTATAAGTATGAAGGAGACCAGTAACCAAAAACCACCAGTCTCAGGATAATTTCACTTAGAAATTCAGATTGAATGTCAGTTTGGTGTATTAACCAAACTCCACTTTTCCGTGATATAGTTTATTAGAAACAGAATCCCACGGAACACGTAATCCTTTGCAGATATCAAACTTACAAGTTGGGTTAAGTTGGGTTAAGTTGGGTTAAGCTGCAGTGACTCATAGCAATTCATTGTCTTCTGGCAAGGCAACAGTGTGTTTCACTTTTAGTTTCTGTTTTATTGATGGTAAATTAATCTGAAATGACTATATTTTAAGAGATTTTAGAATTGGTAACTTGTTCTTTCCCTCAGAACCATGTCTATTGGTCATTTTAAATAGAAAAAAGACCTGTTTATGTTCTAATGTAGTATAACCTATAATTAGTGTGGTGGACATGGTTATTGTTTCCTTACATGTCTTTTTAGGGTACTAAAATAATTTGATATTCTTTACCAACCATATCTCCTTGAATGTGGAGTTCCCACTTGTTAGTAATTTTTTTTTTTTAGCAGTACTGGGGATTGAACCTAGGGTCTCATGCAGGCTAGGCAAACACTAAACCACTGAGCTACATCCAGCCCAGTAATTCTATTTTTAGTAATAAAGGTGTCTAGCAGTCATGAACTGTATTAGAATTGAAGTTTTGTCTTTTTTTTTTTAAAGCAGTTTTTGGAGCTATTATGAAAATGTTCTAGTTGGAAAAAATACGTACTTTTTTTTTTTTTTTTTCTGCAGGCATGAATTCAATGTGTAGTGAAAAAGTCCTATTTTAGCTTGCTCTAGCTGCCATAACAAATTTATCATAGATTGGGTAGCTGGAAAGTCCCAAGATTAAGGTCCATTGATACCCAGTTTCTGGTGAAGGCTCTCTTCTTGGCTTGTAGACACTTTCTTGCTGTATCCTCACTTGGCCTTTGCTCTGAGTGCACAGTGGTAGAGAGGAACTCTCTGATATCTCCTCTTATAAATACACAAATCCTATCATGTAAGGGACCTACTCTTCTGACCTCATTTGACCTTAATTCCTTAAAGGCTCTATCTCTAAATAAAGTCAAATTGGGGCGTTAGAGCTTCAACATAAGAATTTTGGGGAGAGGCATAAATAATCCATACAAAAGTCCTGTACTCAACATTATTGTTTCTTTTAGTTTTACTCCTGTCCCTTAATAGTGATTTCAGGAAAGTCATTTAAACTATTTAATTTGTTAATCTGTAATACGTTTAAGTGGTATAATACCATGCCTACCTCATGGGGTCATTGTAACTATATGTTAGTGTAAATAATATGAGAAATGATGGCAATTATAAATCCTCCAAGTATTAGACCACTTTGACAGTAATAAAGTGCTTCTTAAAACCAGAGAAGTTAAAATGTCTAGGACTTTTTTCTGTTTCAAATATCCTCATAAATAATTTGTAATGTATATGCTTGTTTTATGGACTTAGGGGCTAATATAAAATATTAGTTGCTTTGACTTATGATCCAAGAAAAATTTAATTTAAATTAAAGGATAGACTTTTAATTTTTAGAGTTTTCAGCTCTAGAATATAAAAAGATTACTTAACTTGCCAGAGCACAAAAAGAATTATTCTGGTAGATATAATATCCATGGCACTTCAAGAATATGGTAAATTTAAATTATAACTTTAAAAATTGAATTAAAGATTGTCTTTTTTTTTTTTTTAACTAAAAGAGGGCATTTTATAAATATAAATGAGAGATGGGAAAGTACCTTAAGCCCCCTTGGCAGAAAGCTACTGTATAGGAAATTGGAGATTTTATTAATTCTCCTTTTTTTTTTTGATATTGTCTAATGTTTATAGCAACACATTTATAGCAACACATTTATAAAGGGCTAGTACTTCTTAGTTTGAAGTACTAGTCTAGTTACTAGGTGAAAAGTATTTTGTTAGATGAAATTTTGGACCTAATTTCTTTTTTTTTGACCTGGATGGGAATGGAAGCATGTCTTGACATAAAAATTTTCATATCAATTTTTATGATTTTGAAGTTACCTTTATATATACTATGCTGACTCAGAGATGATACTTCCCATCTCCCTCAAAGGAAGAAATTAAAGGGGATGGACTTTCATTTAAGTTATTATAGCTATTTTGGTGATCTACAAAACTTAATAAGAATAAATTATGTATAGATTTCAGATATGGCATAGATTGTTTTAGGCAGTTTCCTTTCAGAACTTTTCAGAGTACATGTTATTGTATGCAGTTTTTTTTAGCCTTCCAAGGAAATCTGTCATAAAATTTGAAATCACTCTTATTTAAAAGATTTATAACAGAATTCAAGGGATTATGACCTTCTGATTTCTTCTTTAGATTTATTTAAAACTTTCTATATTTTTGAAATCAGTACTAATTGTCATTTTTTTCTCTCACAGCTTCATATTCTCCAATTCAGCCTCATTCTCTAATAAAACATCAACAGATTCCTCTTCATTCACCACCTCCCAAGGTTTCCCATCATCAGCTGATATTACAACAGCAACAGCAGCAAATTCAGCCAATCACACTTCAGAATCCAACTCAAGATATACCCCCATCCCAACACTGTATCCCTCTCCAAAACCATAGCCTTCCTCCACCTCCCAGTAATGCCCAGCCACAGCACTGTTCACCAATTCAGAGCCACCCCCCTCCTGTAGCTGTGTCTCCTAATCATTCCCAATCAGCACAGCAGTCTGTAGTGGTATCTCCTCCACCAGCTCACTCACCAAGTCAGTCTCCTGCTATTATTATTCATCCACAAGCACTGATTCAGCCACACCCTCTTGTGTCATCAGCTCTTCAACCAGGGCCAAGTCTGCAGCAGTCTACTGCTAATCAGGTGCAACCTACAGCCCAGCTGAATCTTCCATCCCATCTTCCACTTCCCCCTTCCCCTGTCGTACACATTGGCCCAGTTCAACAGTCTGCCTTGGTGTCCCCGGGTCAACAGATTGTGTCTCCAACATCACACCAGCAATATTCAACCCTACAGTCCTCTCCAATTCCAATTGCAACCCCACCACAGATGTCGACATCGCCTCCAGCTCAGATTCCACCACTGCCCTTGCAGTCTATGCAATCTTTACAAGTGCAGCCTGAAATTCTGTCCCAGGGCCAGGTTTTGGTGCAGAATGCTTTGGTGTCAGAAGAGGATCTTCCAGCTGCAGAAGCTTTGGTCCAGTTGCCATTTCAGACTCTTCCTCCTCCACAGACTGTTGCGGTAAACCTCCAAGTACAACCTCCAGCACCTGTTGATCCACCAGTGGTAAGCCCTTGGAAGCTCTTTGACTTTCTTGCTGAACTGAAAGTAAAAACTGTTTTCTCCCACACTATGTTATTTGCTAAATCTAAATGCCTATGAATTTAAAAAGCTTAGAATTTCCATTATGTCATTATTCTGACAAACATACTATATGGGCAAAAAAAAAAAATGCAGTTGTTTGTTGTAGTATGGTTGCATGCTTGATAATTTGTGATGGTTATTAAAGTCCCTCGTTAATTTTATTACTATTTAAACAAATCCATCTGCTATCTTTACAGAGTTGATTTTTTTTCCCCAAGGGAATGCATTTGAGCCAGTGTCATCTGCACAAAGTTTTTTCTCTTAAGGTGATTATCCTTCATAGATCCCTTCTGTTGGCTTGTATGCTCTTAAACGTATGCTTTCTCCAGCTAGCCTTTTTGGTTGCATGCATCCTGACGTCCTGGGCCTTGACGGGCTTTTGTTTCAAGGTGGAGGAGGTATGCTTGTATGAAGTAATTTTTTGGTAAAATTATGTTTTGTAATTAAAAGTTAGTAAAAAAATTTTATTCTAGGAAAGAGTCCAACTTTGCAAAAAATATTAACTGATTTTTTAAAACCTCTGCTAAGGGAAAAATATATGCTTACGATATTTCTCACTTAAAAAGCATAAAATTTTAGATGACTTTGATACTGAGAATGAAAAAACATGCACTGGGAGGAGCAGAAGTTTTAAATAATTGAGATTGTAGAGGAATTTATCAGAGTAAACCTTTAAAAATGATTACATGTTACCTAGAAAGCAAAACTGTCTTTTAAAGTAGTTTTTAAATGTTCTCTAAAGGATTTTTTAAAATTTATAAAAAAATTTACAATAAAATTGAAATAAGGTCTCCAAATGTTTAGTCAGATCAAATTCTCAGTTTCTAACTGAGAGGAAACTTCTTAAAGGCAGGTTTTATATCAACTGCACTGAAGAGATTTTGTCACTTAAAAGCTAATAACTTAGCTCAGAAAGGAAAGGAAATTCAAAGTCTCCTTTTTAATGGGAAACACTTTGGATCTCCAGATGCAAATTTGAAGTTACTTTTTTCTTATTATTCTGAGTAATCTTAATAGGCATAAAGAGATTGAATTCTGAGCCAGGTGTGGTGGTGAGACCTGTAGAGACATAGGCAGAAGGGCTATATAGTGAGACCTGTCTCATTAAATAAAAAAAAAAAAAGGGAGAGAGATTAAATTCCAATTCCTATTCCATTTTTAAAAACCAGAACTTGACAAAGATATCAGTACTAGAAATGTTTGTCATTTAATCATCATGTCTCTACATTTTCTTTTAAGATTTTTGAAGAGCTTACAATGGGTATTGTAACAAAAACCCAGGTTTGGGCTGGAGATGTATGTAGCTCACTTCTAGAGCGCTGGCCGAGCATGTGTAGCCCTGGGTTCAATCCTCAGCACCTCAGAGAAAACCAAAACCAAAACCACAGGTTTAGGAAGTATACAGTACCTTTAAAGATACTACATTTAATTTAAATTTAACTTTCAGTATTTAGTTCAGTGACCTGAATTTAACAAGTAAAAAGTAAAACCTCTATATTCTTTATATTTTTCTAATGTTTTTTGTCAGGGGAAACTTCAGAGGAACGTACCTGGTGAGGTTTTTTTTTGCTTTCCTGGAGTTTGAACTCAGGGCAAGTGCTCTATCATTTGAGCCACACCTCCAGCATGGGGTTTGGATAGAAATATCAAACATATTAACACTTTAAAAAACTAATTAAAGCCCAAAATATTTATGGTTCTATTTTGTTAGTTCTTGCCTGCCTCTGTTTTAAGATTTTTAAAAAAAAAAATTATCTCATTTTTGAACAATTTCTTCTCCCTAAGAAATTACTAACTTTCACTACTATCACTGATATGGTCATTATGCTTGCTATAGATGTTCCCTCTGCCTTTTCTTATCTTTCATCTTTCTTTGAATAACAGCTCTGTTTATTAAATTGCTGCATTTTTCTTATTATCTTTGACTAAATGTATTTTTTTTATTAAAACACATTTTTTCACAAATTATCTTTCTTGGATGTTTTACATACTTAAAGGTAGAGAGAAGTATTTATTTCTTAAGAGGTGTGAAAATTTGAAAGCTAAGTTAATTCTCAAAGTAAAATTAGTATGTTTTTTAAATTTACATTTATAAACAAATTAGAGTTTTTATTGACATTTGGGTATAAATAAGATATGTTGAGGTTAGATAATTTAGAACTAATAAACAAATGTTCCTCAGTTTATTTAGGAAAGGGAGACAGATGGGAATAATGGACTTTATTGAGGTAAGTTTGGCAGTCTTTGTTATTTTTAGAATAGTTATAGTTTTGAGCTAAACAGAATTGTGATGTGCAGTTCATAATGATCTTGTGAGCAAAACCTCCACTTCTTTGCTTTTTTCAATATTTTAGTTGTTGCATCTAGATTTCTTTGTGCTGATCGTGCCAGATGTCTGTGACAGATTTGTTTTGCCTTTACACGGGATATTTGGAAGGAAATGGGTATAGTTAGCCTTAACTATAAAGAAAGAACAGTTTTTTGTGTTAGGAATTTTTCCATCTTTTGAATGAAACACATAATTTTTTAAAATCAGAATTCTATGCATGGTCAAGAAAAAAAAATTGAGCACAGAGCTACACACATTATAAAAAAAAACCTAGCAGATGCTTGGATAACTTGAAAGTATTAAAATTAAAGAGAGCTTTGGGATTTTAAGAAAAGATAATGTTTTTTGGAAGAAAAATAATATCTACTAAAGGAAATGCTGTATAGATAAAATGGAGCCTAATAAATCCATTCTTGTATTATTACTCTGAGTTAACTCCCCCACCACTCAGGCAAATTAATCACAACACTAGTAGATGCCTCTGGGTACTAGAAAGGTGTTTTGTTGTTTGTCACCCACCAGCCATTTTTGTGGGTGGCTTTCCCTGTACTGGGCATGATGATCATTTGAAGAGATGCTAGCCGCTATTACTGTTGGACTGTACATTAATGAATGACTGCTTTCACTTCTGAGCTCCAGATAGGAGGAAAGGAGTCTCTCTTGGTGAAACAGTTCTAGAGATGCAGGATTGTTATCTTTAAAAATGTTTCCTACCTAATAGCTGGTTTTAATCACATTCAGGATATTATATTTTATATAAAATTCCCAGTAATGGGATTTTTTTTTAGAAAGAAAAAAAGATGTTTTATTTTTGGAACAGTCTTGGAAAGATGGTGATGGTGATGGTGATGATGACTATGGCAGTATTGGGATTTGAAGTCAGGCCCTTGCCAAACGATCGCTCTACTGCATGATCCATGCCTCTAACCTAAGATTTTAAAAAACTCTACTGCTTATTACTATTGTATACTTTTATAAATAAAACTTCCTACTCCCCTTTATAGCATATGGTTTATGCTGTTCAGAAATCTTGATTACTTTCATATTTAATTTTATAAACTTCAAATTATGAAACTTTTTCAACAGTATAACATTAGATGTTACTTTAAGTTATTTTGTGACTGAAACAATTTTTACTTTGTTAGTATTTATTGGAATGTTAATTAGTAATCTTAAAAACACATAATCTTTCTAAATTTAAGTAAAAGCTTTCCATATAAAAGAAGTGAATTGTTTTGTGGCTTTGTTTTTAGTAACTTAGCATCTCATAAACAATGGTTAAATAAATAATAAATGACCCATGAAAATATCTGTCAATTTCTAGAAGTGTACCTTGAAATTAAGCCTTAAGTTTAATAAAATATTAATAAGTTAGTTATATCTATAGCTTTCTCAGAGTGCTTTTGATTCCGTGTTCCTTCTTAAGTATAATCTTTACAGTTGGGTAACCAGGTAGTTAAGGACTTTAAACCTTCGCCCCATTAGTATGGAACAATATTAAAAAACTAAGAAGTACATTCAAATGACTTAGGATGTGTAAGTGTGAGAGTGTGTGCATGTGTAATGTATTGTTTCAACAAAAGATATTTTCCATACATGTGATATTAGCTTATAAGCATTCATTTGATTCTTGAGTTGAACAGAAAAGGAAGCTCCTTTTCATAGATACTTGGACATTACTTTTTATAATTTAATCTTTAATTCATGTAATAATAATAATAACAAAGAGCCTGGGATATAGTCCTCCTGGCAACACATCTCCTGATGTATTATGCATTATTTTGGAAATTTACTTAGTGGAAATTACTAGTATCTATTTTGATTTATGACAAGTGAAAAATTAACAAACGGCAGTATAATACTTGTAATAGTTATTTGATTGTGTAAAATCAAAGCTTTAAAAATAATTCTCTTTTAAATAATTCTAAAATTTAAAAATATTATCATTTTGGAAACCTTAGTGATTCTTGGCCTAGAAACTGATCCACAGATTGCTTTCAGTGAAATATGATCAAGTATTATGAAAAATTTCATTTGAGCGGTACTAAAGTTTACTTTTCAATTTATCAGAATAGTCATTTTGCCTTGTTTGAAATTTAATACACTTAGAATTTAACTTTAAAATTAAAAATAGCTCATGAAATGTATTTTCAAAAACACTTTAAGGCAACATGATTTGTCCTTGCAGGTTTATCAAGTAGAAGACATGTGTGAAGAAGAAATGCCAGAAGAGTCAGATGAATGTGTCCGGATGGATAGAACCCCACCACCACCCACTTTGTCTCCAGCAGCTATAACTGTGGGGAGAGGAGAGGATTTGACCTCTGAACATCCTTTGCTAGGTAAGGAAATACCAAAATATAGTCGAAGTTAATAATGTTAATAGTAGGAAGTATTATATTAGCTTGTTACTATAGTTAACTACAGCAAGAGATACAATTTAAATTTTAGAAAATTTATGAGGAACATTTTATTAAAGAGTAAGTAAGAATGACTTGTCTTGGAAAATTCTGTAATAGCAGAGGAGCTCAGTAGTTTGTAAATTGTTCAGTAGTAACCAGACGAAAAACATACATTTTCAGTGGTTTGTACAGATGGGTTTCATATGCTTATTCTGATTCATGTGTTAAAATATATTTAGCTTAAATATGAGAACATCCATGAGTAGCATGTTAGTTAAAAAAATGAGAATAAGTCACAGTTCTATCAAAAGATTTAAATTATACTTTCTAAAAATTGAAAAAGCATTCTAAGTCATCTCTCATATTCCTCACAATTGCTGTGATTCAGACTAAGTGCTTTAAAAAGTTGCTTTTAATACTTAACTTTGGCCTAATTCTCTCATGAGACCTGGGCTTTTAAAGTTCTTAAACTTGCATTCAAATACTTATTCACTACTTCAGTGCTCCTTAGAAAATCAGGTAAAACTTCTTTCTGCTCTTCCTTGTAATATCAAAGTTACTATGAACCTTAGGTATTTTACTAAAACTTTAGTTTAACTTACAGATCCAGGTGTAGGTCCTAAAGAAAGATATAATGAATGTTATCTTTAAAATTTTATGAGTATTTTATTTAGGCCAGGAGTTGGTGAACTATAGCTCACTATTCAAATCTTTTCTGTGGTGCAAGTAAAGGATCAATTTTACATTTTTGAATAGTTGGGAAAAAAGGAGAGTAGTTCTTGCCATGGGACAATTATGTGAAATACAAGTTTTAAGATGGGTATGGGGACACATGCCTATAATTCTAGCACTTGGAGAATGAGGCAGAGGATCTCCAGTTTGCAGCCTGTGCTACAAATTGCATCTCAGAAAAACAACAAAAAATGGACAGGCACATTGGTTCACATCTGTAATCCCAGCTATTTGGGAGATGGAGATAGGAGGATTGTGGTTCTTGGCCAGTCCAAGCAGAAAGTTAGCAAGGTCCTAGCTCAAAGAACAAATTGGGCATAGTGGTGCACATCTGTAATCCCACCTACAAGATTGGCAGAGGTAGGAAGATCTAGATCTGAGATTGATTCTAGGCAAAAGTCAGACCATATCTGAAAAGTAACAAAAGCAGAAAAGACTGTGGCATGACTAGAGATGGAATACTTGCTACGAGGCCCTGAGTTCAAACCCCAGTACTGCCCAAACAAAAACAAACACAAATTTTATTGTCCATAAATAAAGTTATATAAAACATAGCCTTGCTCATTTGTTCAAATATTATCTATGGCTGCTTTTGTTCTATTATCCACAAAGTTGAGTAATTGCAGAGGACACATGGCCCTTTACTGAAAGTTTGCTAACTTCTGATCTGAATAATACTAAGGTTGGCTCAGGCTTTGTTGTATATATTCTGTTCTGTTGGATAGCTTATGGCCATCGTGATTATTTTCAGTTAAGAAAGAGCCACTATAATAGGTATGGAAACCAACTAATAGGACACTGACCCTCTCTGATAACAAAGTGATTTGCCCTATGTTTTCTTCAGCATGTCACGTCCTCCTGCTTTCCCTTCTCTCAAGCTCTTACTACCTTATGCACAGTGTGAATTTCTGGAAAGCACTGAAGAGGAAAAGCACTTTTCTTCTTACTTTTCCCCCCTCCTGAAAATAGAAAACATTTAGTCACTAAAATCATATAAATGAAGACAAATTAATATTATTGCCTTTGGTTATTCAAAATAACACCTCAAAAAACAGATTTAAGAAAGTCTTAACTATAGTATCAATAGTTGTGGTTTCTTTATACTGAAAGTGGATTTACGGTGCTACAGATTTCTGAAGTTTTGATTTAATAGCAAAAATAGTTTGAAAGGTGAGGAAGGATGAGGGAGAATGATGGAGACGATGAGTATAATTAAGATACATTGTAAGCACATATGTAAATCTCACAATGACTAGTATATGCTAGTTAAAAAAAGAATGGCTGCTGGGCACCGGTGGCTCACACCTGTAATCCTAGCTACTCAGGAGGCAGAGATCAGGAGTCTAGCCTGGGCAAGTAGTAGAGAGATCCTGTTCTCAAAAATACCTAGCACAAAAAAGGGTTGGCTGAATGACTCAAGTGGTAGAGCACTTGCCTAGGAAGCGTGAAGCCTTGAATTCAAACTCTGGTATGGTCCAAAACAAAAAAGAATGGCTGAAAATAATAAAAGACCTAGCAAATGCAAAGGCAAACAATTTAAATAAGGTTTCAATTATAGCAAAATGTTTAAATAAAATACAATTTACTCCCCTGCCCAAAAAAAAAAAAGTTTGAGCAATAAGCTTTCATTGTGACTGTAATGTTATTATAAAATAAACATTACTAATGACACTGACACCAAATACAAACATTTTCAAATGCTGGGACACAAGAATATCTTTGCATTTTTTTCTGTAGGAAATAGTCTGAGGTCCTGTCAAGCACATCCCATTGGCTAAGTTGTCAACTGCAACATAGTCATTTTAATCTTCCTGTGAGTTACTTTATTCTTACCACTGTTGTATAATATATAGAAAGGGGAGGTACAGGTTGATGTTTAGAGTAACTCTTACCAAAATAAGCTAGCTAGTAAAATGGAGTCATTTTTAAAAATAGACATTTCCATCCAGGTTTAGTTTTTATAAATATGTAAAAATTCTTTAAAAGCATCTGTGCAGAGATCAAAAAGCTTCATAGCCCTTGTGTAGAAAATGAAACTGAATTCATACAGTAACTTCATGTAAGTTAACAAATTTTCTCTCATACTTGTCTATAATATGTTTCTGTTGTATTATAATGTCAATGTTTCTGATGTTTTTTGGCAACTTGTTATAAACTGGAAAATAATAGGTATTAGCTTCTTTTTATTTTTTAATTTATGTAAAATTTTTTGTTATATTGTTGTACTTGGATACATTGTGATATTTACAAACTTGCTTGCAATATATCTTACTTAGTCAAATTTACCCCCTCCATGGTTCTCCTTTATTCCCTCTTCTCCTCAGAATAGTTTCGACAGGTCTCATTTTTCCATTTTCATGCATGAGTACATAGTATTTCCACCACATTCACCCACCTTTGCCCTTTTCTTATATCTTCCCCTCTCCCATTGGTACCAGCCCCCCAATAGGACCCATTTTACCTTTGTGCCCTTCATTTTTGAAAAAAAAAATTTCTTACAGATCTACTTTTAATAAAACTTTAGGACTAGGTAAGATTTTTACATATGAATTAAATTAGAATATATACCAAAGTAGTGTTTTCTGAACAAATCAAAATGTATTTAATTATACTTAATGCTAGTTTTTTAGTCTTTTTTTTGTGTTTTCATAACAGAATACCATAGACTTAGGCTAGTCATGATCCTAGACTGAGGAGGCTGAGGTAGAAGGTTCACAAGTTTGAAGCCAAATTGGGCTATATATAGCAAGATTCTGTCTAAAAAAAAAAAAAAATATATATATATATATATATATATATATATATTCACACACACATACGCACACACACACATATGTCTATGATGATTCTGGAGTCTGGGAATTCTGGGATCAAGGGGTTACAGCTAATGAGAGCCGCCTTTTTTCTTTTCTTTACCCCTCTTTCCCTACTGGAAAGCATCAAGCTTGCTGGGGCAGGTGTTCTCTGACAACCATGACCACCAGTCCCTTTTGCTTTAGTTATTTTTCAGGTGGGGTCTCATGTTTTTTGCCTGCACTGGCCTTAGACCTCAATCCTCAGTACTCCTACTGGCAGTTGGGATCACAACTGCATGCCACCATATCTGGTTTATTGATTAAGATGGAGTCTCATTGACTTATTGCTGCTCTGGCTTTGAAGGATCCTCCCAATCTGCCTCCTGAGTAGCTGGGATTTTAGATGTGAGCTATGCTCCCAAGTCTACTAAGGGAAGGGCTTTCTTGCTGAGTCATAACATGGCAGTAGGTATCCCCTGGGTAACGGTGTGAGCACAAGGGGGTTCAAACTCATAATGGACCCTCTCCTGAGATAAGATTAATCTAGTCATGGTTAGCCTCTAAGGGAGGCTAATCACCTTTCAACAGACTGAAAGTGGGTCATCTCTAGAGTGAGAACCAGAATGAACAGAAGACAGTTGTTTTAACCATGTTTGAATGACAACTTTGAGCAACTTACCCTTTTCTTCTGATAATAAAGATAAAGTTCTTAGAATAGTTTTTGAAAATTTATGTTTATTCTTGAATACTCTTTCATGTTTGCATGGCCAACATGTTAAAGATCAAAAAATAACTTTTCTTTCAGAGCAAGTGGAATTACCTGCTGTGGCGTCAGTCAGTGCTTCAGTAATTAAATCCCCATCTGATCCCTCACACGTTTCTGTTCCTCCACCTCCACTCTTACTTCCCGCTGCCACCACAAGGAGTAATAGTACATCTGTGCCTAGTAGCATCCCCAACATGGAAAACAGGCCTCCCCAGGCTATCGTGAAGCCACAGATCTTGACCCACGTTATTGAAGGCTTTGTGATTCAGGAGGGATTGGAGCCATTCCCTGTAAGTATAAGTGGGAAGCACTTTGTGTTTTTAAAATTATTATTATCTAGATAGAGGTTTACAACAGTCTTGTTCTCTAAGAAAAAGCTTTTAATTTTATTTAAAAAATTTATTGATTTTTGCCTAGAATTTTAACTCTATATCTTTTATATATTTCTAAAATTTCATGCTAGCCATTTACAGTGAAAGAAAAAATGGAAAAGAGTTTGAGTATAGGGCCGCCAATTTTGTAATTTTTAGAAAAAGCTAATTGGAAGTTTACTTCAATGAAATAAATTTTTTTTTGAGACAAGGTCTTGCTATGTAGCCCAGGCTGGCCTTGCACTCATAATTACCCCCCTGCCTCAGTTTGTTTTTTTCTTTTTAAGAGGATTGAAATGACATGCAAAGTATATTATTTTAAAAATGGTATTTATTGTATGTTACACTTTGTGAACTTTAAATGAAGTGCAGAATATATTAACTTTTTAGTGCCCTAATACATCTTGGTGCTTATAATTACCAAATAGATTTTCTCATTATTCCTGAATTTCAGCCTTCAATCAGATTTTTAAAATGCTTTAAATTATTCACCTTAGAATGGAAGTACCCTGTAACCACAAGTCATACAATTTGAGACTATCCATAGCCATGAATAATTTATATTCTACTATCCAAAATTTGAACATTTTCCCTTAGAAAATGTATTGAAGATAAATACATATAAAACATAAAATACTTCTCTTCAAGTTCTTTGAATCACCTGAATTTTGAGATTCATGAATGGAAATCTTATAGTTTGATAGTTACACAATCACTTGTCTTTGTGTTCAGTTTTTTGTGTGTATGTACTGAACTTGGATTTCCTATAAAAAGGCTGATACAGTAAAACTGTCTTTGCTCATTTCTCAGATAATACAGTATGTCTAAGTGTTTGAATCCTGGCTGTGGTGTGTACTGACTGGGTAACTTGTCTCTCAACCTTTCTGATCTTCATTTTGCTCATCTGGCAGATGGAGATGCTTTTAGGGTTGTTGTGAGAATTAAATGTGCATATGTTACTTTGTGCTGTTCCTGACATTCAATAGGCATAGTTATTATTACCCTTACTATTAGTGATAATTAGAACTTTGGTTTTTCAGATTACAAAAGTAATACATGTTCTGAATGAAAACTTGGAAATTGTAGAGAACAAATAATTCCCAATAATAGCATGATCTGTGTGTATATGTGTGTTCATATACTTGAAATTTTTATTGTATAGGTCAACTTTCTTACTTTATAAGTTTTAGCACTTATTCTTCTATATAATTAATAGCATGTTCGGAGTATTTTGAAAGATTACATAATATTCTACTTTGTGGACAGCCATAATATATATAATCCTCCTGTTATGGTTGGATATTATTTTCATTTTTTTCACTCTTCAAGTAGTTTTGAGGGGCTGGAAATGTAATTCCCTGGTAAAGTCCCTGGATTCAGTCCTCAGCACTACACAAACATATATACACACACATACAGTGTTCTGAAAGGAATATTTTTTGTATGTAAATGGTTCACATTTTAAAGAATTTTTGATATAAATTCCTAGAAGTAGGGATGTTGAATCATATATACTTATTCATAAAACTTGATATATATATCATCAGATTATTTTATGGAAAAATCATAAAATTTATGAAATTCATCTACCAGAAGTATATTCCTATACCAGCATTGAATATTAGTTTTTTCCCCAGGAATAAGTTCTATAAATTTTACTTCATGCATAATAAATATCTTACTAAGACAAACAAAATAAAATACATGCTTTAATCTTGTTTCATTTAAAACTTTGTACTCTTGTACTCTGAGGCTAAATGTAGAAATTTCCAATAAGCTGTGATTCCCCATATGTAGCAGATACTGAAGACTTACTCAGCATTCATGAGGAATAAGTGTCCTAATCATCATCCTTTTCAAATTAGTTGAGTTCTTACTTAAAGAATCAGTAAATATTTTCAATTTAAGTTATAGTTTCTGAAAGTATTCCTAAAGTAAGTATTCGTGACAAACATGTATACTGAACCTAGTGAATAGTTTGTTGTTAATGTTAGCAGTGTTTAAGAATTTTCCAAACACAACAAGGGGATTGGACTTTGATCACATGATAAAGCGAGAGCACACAAGGAAGGTATGAGGATAGGTAAGACACCCAAAAAACTAGATAG